TAATGTCATTAAATAATGTCTAGATCAATAGAAAAAATTTCCATATTACATAAATGGATCCTACATATATTAAATTATTATAAAATTATAATACTATAAGTTATAAACCAACTATGTTATCCCTGTTTATGGACTTCATCAATTTTGTGGCTTTCGTAGGTTAAGGACAAACCAAACCAGAGCTTTCCTCTCTAATCTTTTTGCAAAATTTGTTTTGGCTACTGTCAATGAGTCAATTTGAGTCCGTGATTGCTTAAGGGAAAAATCAAAGTTCAAACTTCAAAGATGATGGGTTGTCGGACAGTTTGGAATTAATGTGTTGTGTTGACTTTCTTCGCAAGGATGCGTGGCCTAATAATGCCTGCACCATGTATAGCTTTATACTCTGACCATGTTAATGTACTGTAGAGTAATGATTGTTTGTTTGGACTAGGTATTATGAGGAAATTTTGGTTAAAAACACCTTTAATTAAAAAACAGACTGCTCCAATTTGATGGTATGAATCTAAGTTAAGGTGTTCACTTTTTGTAAATGTATGGTTTCGAAGTTCACAGATATATTTTTTTTTTTGCCATGGTTAACTAATATATCTGTATCTAATTTCAACCTGTTCAAAAAATAATTAAATGTTGTTATTTTCCATAGTTAACTAATATATCTGTAACTAATGTATCTGTATCTAGTTTCTCAGTTTCTTCTTCTTGTTTTCTGGAAGGACGGACGAACAAAGGCCGGATTCAACACGACACAACCGTATGAGAGTTGAGGCAATGGAAGAAGCCAAAGAAGCAATCTCCGGAGATAGAGCAGAGAATCCTTCAATGGACAAGCCCGGGAAGGAGAAGAGGAAGGAGAGGAAGAAGATGAAGAGGAAGCAGCTCAGGAAGGAGGCGGCCGAGAGGGAGAGGGAAGCCGAGGAGGCCAGGTTTAACGACCCCAACGAGCTCAACAGGTTGGAGAGGGAGCAGGAGGAAGAGAGGGAGCGGAGAGAGAAGGCGTTGAAAGAGTTTGAGGAGAGAGAGCGAGCTTGGATCGAGGCCATGGAGACAAAAAGGCAGGAGCAGGAGGAGGAGAACACAAGGAAGGATCTAGAAGAGAAGGCCAAGAGAGAAAAAGAGGTTTGTTTGTTAGAATTTTTTTTTTTTTTTTTTTTCTCTTTCTTTCTTCCTGGTGGTGAGTGTTTATTATCTATTATTATTCCATTACAGAATTTTACATGCTTTTTCCCTGAATATGTCAGAGAATCAGCAAATAACAATAGCAACCACTTACTGTTTTAACCGTGCAATGCCATGTTTTGGGGGTAAAAGGTAGAAGGTAAACTAACAAGTGTAAACTCCAGCTGGAGTTGAACATGTCCATGCAAATGTTATCAAGATTATGAAACACGCTTAAGGGCATATCTCGTACAAAACAAGAAAAATGTAAGCCAGGAATTAGTTACATATCAAAATAAATTATTGAAATATTAGCCATTTTCTGAACTTATTAGGATGTACCTTTATTTCATAACCCCGAAGCCGCTTCATGGTCAAGTTTTGAGCAGAAATCTGCACGTAGAAGGTTTACTCAGATAACTAGCAAATGTAATATTCTCGAGCAAATAAAGTAACAAAAGTAAATCATGGAAAGCACAGTCCCCTTCACTAATCAACTGTCTCCTAAATCTCCATAAATGATCTACAGGTCAGAGATACTCAACACCATAGACTGACAGCAAAAAGCAAACATGAAAGCAGCAAACAGCAATCCCAATTAAACTGAAGAAAATTTCTTTCAAATGTTAAGATTTAATTAGAAATTTAAATACAGTAATACACAGATATTTGGAGAAGACAAACCTTTTTGCGCTCTTGGCGAATCTTTTTTCTTTTACCATGCCTCATATCCATCAAGAACTCATCAAAACTGTGGCACATAAACAGAAGTTCATATTCCTTCTACACTCAGACATCAAAACAGAAAGAAAATTGTTTTGAAGGATTGTAAGACTAGACATTGACATCACTAGAACAAATAAACTTAATGTCACAGGATACGTAGATTACAAACTTGAAATGGAAAAATGATATTTAAAACTTAAAAGCAGACAACTACTCCACTTCATAGAATATCCTAATTGATTGACTGAAACTCCCCTGATAATCTTCTTTTCACAAACCATTTTTGATAACACACTGCATATGTGCGGAAATGGAAATTAGCCAACTTTCAAGGAGTGCCGCCAAAATTAAAGCATTTTATAAGTTACATACTCTTTCCTATTCCCATAAACAATGGCCCCTTTTCCATTTCAAATGTCTGGTGATGAGTTTTTTGAATATTAAAAGGAATATAAAAATTGTTTAGCTTTCCTTTTCAAATGTTCATAATATCACAGATAAACATGAAGCTGAGACCACGAAAAAAAGTTTATAATAATCACTTACTTTTTATAGTTTCGATTTTTCCAGTGGTACTGCATTCCAATCCTTTGTAGGAATCCTTTGTCCTTGAGTTTGTGCCATTCATTTTCAGATGGGAAGGTAATGTGCAAAGAAGAAACCTGAGACTGCAAAATTTTTAACAAGTTAGAAAGGGTCAGCAACATCTTGCCATTCAAAATGCAATAGCTAAAATCTTGATGGTAGGGTCTGGTATAAAGAAGAAAAGTTTGAACTGCAATGAGATACATGGCAATTATAATCTACTCTAACTGCAAAATGGAAGGGGCAGGGAAATTTAATTCATCAAATTCATATATGCTCAGCGTTCATGTGAGAAGGAGCTTTTGAGCTTTAAGAGTAAAAAGTAAAAACAAGCAGATAAGGTAAGGAATAATTAGAGTTGCAATCATGGGAAAATGGAATCACATCCTTAAAGCAAAGGATTATCTTTATCCATGCAATACCTTGGCTGCCAGATCCTTGAGAGCAGAGACCATAATGTCAAAGACTTGATCTTTAAAACAAGTATTGCGGATCAAGATCCTTGGACCAGTAACAGGAGTGAAAGGCACACAGCATTGAAGTTTTGGATAGTATCTTGATCCAAGACTGTAGTAGGCATCAGCCCAGGAATGATCGAAAACAAATTCACCATAGGAGTGGCTACACACCCAAATTGAAACCAAGAGATTAGAAAATAGGAAATTTCTGAAAAAAAAAATAAATAAATAAATAAGAAGAAGAAGAAGAAGAAGAGAGCAGAGCAGATGGTAAACCTCTTAAGATAGAGTGGAACAACAGCTAAAATATTTTGAGATTCATCCTTAGCAACAATATGGCAGGGCTTCCATCCAGTTTCCTGAAAAGTCAATTTAAAGTGAGAATTTTTACATGGAGTGGTACTAAAAAGGAAAGAAAGAAAGAAAGAAAGAAAGAAAGTGGTGCAGTGGGAGTGTGATTATTAACCAACCTGGACAGTGCAACCAGTCTGTTCTAAACTTGAAAGAAAGGCATGGGTAAGAAAAGGATTAAAGTTTTGAGCACCGGAGGCATCCAAAGTACAAGCATCCCAGGCATGGGGTGAGACCTCCAAAATTGAAGAAACAACAGAGATGGAGAGCTTTTGAGGTGTTGTCTGAGAGGGACAGGGTGAAAAAGCAATAGAATGAGGTCTAATTGTACCATACTAACCTTAACCAAATAATAAAAGAAGAGAAACAAAGAGAAGAGAATTGGGTGATGAAGAAGAAGAGGAAGAAGAAGGTGGTAAAGTAAAATCTCTTGAAAAATCCAATTGCAGGGATTTGTTGTTAGATCCCCAAAATAGTGCAGTAATTGTAGAGGCAGAGACTGGATTCCTGACGCTTTGTCCAACTGATGATTTCCCTTTCCCCTGAGAAAGCATCAATCAATCAAACAGACAGACAGACAGCAATTAAAAATTAATTTCCACGCTAGAAACAACAACAACAACAACAACAACAAAAGATTCGCATGAATGACACAAAAGAGGCAACTGAAGTTAATAAAATATATAGATAGATGAAACATGAAAGCGGTACGCATGTCGGTGGTTTAACGGTAATCACTAATCAAACAAAGCAAGACAGGTAAACGCAGGCAGCCACGGTCTTTGGAACGCGCTTACAAAGTTAGGGGGAAATTGGCCGAGGAATGGGGAAGGCTTGCAGTGGCAGCAGTAAGTGAGTGCTGCTGCTGCCGCCATGGATTGGCCACACAACACGCTACACGCTGCAGGCTTTACGCCCAGAGAAAAATAAACAAAGAAAGAAAGAAAGAAAGGTACCGTTGGCTTTTATAACGACAAATTGATTAAGTACAAATCAAGCCCAATCACCAAAAGCCTCCCCGACTGGACTGGACTGGACATTGTAAAGCCCATAACACACTCCCAATCCATGTTTCTTCTTGTTTTCAAGAAGGAAGACCAATTTTTTATTATTATTAACTAAATTTACTATTAATATAATATACATTATAATTGTATTGTATATTAAATCAATTATATTCGGTTAACGATTTCAATTATAGTTGATTAGTGTAAATAGAATGTTTATGCATGTTTGAGTTCTTAGAAAAACTTCATAAAAGTAAAGTTGATTATCTTAATAACAAGCATGCTAGTATTTTTTGCTAGAGATCCCATGTACAGAGTTTTCTACTTAATTCAATAAAATATATGCTTGGAACAATTGAGCTATGCCATTTTGGCTAAACTTTCACATCCTTTGGTACAAAATTTGTTGATGAGTGTAGGTGATGTTTATTTTCAGCAATTTAAAGGAAGTAGGTCAATTGTTGCTTCCATCTTGAACCTCTTCCTCCATACAAATCATTCCATTGTTTCAGCTCAGCCATTATCGCACCCTTAACAGAAAAGATTGCAACAACTTGCATAAGAGTAATATAGACCTCTATAGATCAAATGACAGTTTTGGATTCTTGAACTAGTGTGGAAAATTTAATGCTAGGAAATAAAGATATATGGAGATGGTAATTATGTTACTTGGTTCTTTGCCTCCACACTTTTGGCAGACTTCATTTTACTTGAAGCATAAATAAGTTGTGGTTTTTAGACATTATTATTTCAAGAAATACCATTTTCTTATGATTATCAGTTTCTAAATTCATTCAAGTAGAAGGAAAGAAAATCCCTTTTTGTAAAATAGAAGAAAATTTTCAAGCAATTGTTTTTTTTTTTTTTTAAACATACATTGTCAATCCTATAATTGCAACTGACCATTACCTTGGACTTTTAGCTTGATCAAGCTCCTCATCTTTATTATTTGGGTCATGGTTCTTCTCAAACCTTTTTTGATCCACTTTCGATTACTTTTCATCTCCTGTTTGTGACTACTGCCGACCACATCCTTCTTTTTCATCACTATCAAATCTTTTACCTCACTTTCTTCCTTCTTATTACCATATCTAGTCATTAGGAACTTTGTTCTCTTTCATGCATCATCACTTTCCCCAGGATTAGGTTCCACATCACACAACTATCACTTTCTACTTTTACATCCCCATGCCCCTATGCTTCCCTTTCACCCTTAGCTTCCAAAGTGCCCTTAGCTTCATCCTGTATATAAAATAATAAAACCCTAAGCTTTTGTTGGGAATTTTGGGCACCACAATCCCACATAAACGAAAGCGATAAAGAAATTAAGACAACAATTTAATGTGGTTCAATTTGTATAGTGGGAAAGAGAGAAATAAATCCATTATTAAAAAAAAAGTACAATAATTTAGAAGTTCTCTCACTCAAAAAGCTCTCAACACCTTAGTTTCAATATATAAAAACTCTCAAATTCTTCCTAATACTTTTTTCTTAATCTACACAAGGATTATCTCACAATTTCTCTCTTTCTTTTCTCTCACAAGAGCACTCACTCAATTTCTCTTTCTTCCTCCCACTCTCGGTTGCACATTGCCTTTGCATGCATAGGTATTTATAGTGAAAAATCCCAACCACCCAAGCAAGTTTTTCTTTGCCTCATTACCACCTGTCCATGATTTTCTTTGCTCATTAAATGGGTCAACATGCAATCTTGCATGATTTCAACAAAGAAAATGCTAGCCCACAACAAGACTATATTAATTATTAATTTAAATTTATTACTCAATTCCCTTTGTAGAAGTTCCTTTTGCATAAAGCTCCTAGTGTTGTGTTTTCACTTTCTATTATAAACATTTGCTATCAAACTCTTTAAAATATGAAAGTATTGAGACAATACTTTCATCAAAAACTATAATTATTATTAAAACATCTTTTATCGTGCCTCATTATGTTGTTAAATTGTTTATTCTATAGTTGCTACTCCCCTTCTAATCTATCTATCCTTTAATTTCTTTTCTTTTTTTTTGCCATTGAGTATATCTATCCCTTATTCCTGCAACAATTATAGAGTTAGTATTTAGAAATAGAATGAAACAAGAAATTGCCAGTTATAGTAGAAAATTATGATTAGAAGACTCATTGACATTAGTTTTGGAAGTTTTTTTGGTCAATCTATAAGTTTGGAAAATTTTTTTTCCAATTAACTCATGACTTCAATTGCTAGAAAGTAAGGGTGTTTATATACAATTCAATCTGATTGATTTGACCTAAATTGATTCAATTCAATAAAAAACCAAACCAAAACGATATAAAATTAGGTTGGTTTAGATTATAAAATTTTAAAATTGATATAATTGGTTTTGTTTGTAATTTTACCTTTAAAATGCCCAAATCACCTGATTTCAAAATAAAATTCAGTTACAAGATAACTTAATCAAATAATATAATATATTTTTTGTAATATTTTAAATTTTTTTCATATTTTATAAGATGATAACTCCATTAATTTAATTGAAAAAAATAAAAACAAAATATCTCATATCATCTAATTTATTTATTTTTTAAATCGTGCACTCCAATCCTAATTATAAATTTCTAATTTACCTGCAATTCTATCCCTTATAACTAGCTAGTCTACAACTCTACTTTTATAAACCTAAATTTTTAATTTATTTTTAAAATAATATTCTGATTCTTTTAACTAAACTTTAAGAAGTATCTTTGTAAAAGTTTTAAAACTATATAATAGAATTAATTTTAATATTCTACTATTTTTGGATATTGTTTGGTTGAGGATTTTTAAATTTTAATTATGAATGCTTCTAATTATTCATAATGACATTTATGTTAAATTTTATTTGCTTTTAATAGGGTTTCGAAGGAAGGATTGGATCATTTGGTGCATTAAGGAAAAAAAAACTAGCTTTAATTTTTAAGAATTATTTGCATTGTATTTTGAAACTTAGAGTCATCTTTTAATGGCATTCATGTTGAAGTTAGGGTTTTTGCTTGGAAGGAAAAGAAAGACTTCTCATATATGAATTTATTCCAAATGCAAGCCTTGATCGTTTCATATTTGGTACGTGAACTTTCCATATGTTCATTAATAATTAGAATTTTTAACGGGTTTTTATGTCTCGAGTCATCTACAAAGCACAATTACATTGGCAAATGAGTCAATATCTTTTAAATTGTTATCAGTACTGGTGATTTCTTCTTATAGATCCAATCAAGAAAGCACAGTTGGATTGGCAAAGGCGTTATAGAATTATAGGGGGCATTGCTTGAGGACTTCTCTATTTTCATGAAGATTCTCAACTATGAGTTATTCATCATGATCTCAAACCCAACAATATTTTATTAGATGCAGAGATGAATCTTAAAATTTAAGATTTTGGTATGGCAAAATTGGTTGCAGCTAATGATCAAACTCATGATACTACAAGAAGGGCTGCGGGAACATAGTAAGTATAATACTCTTTGCATTGTCAATCTCAGCACTTCAAACACTTGGTACTTCATACACTTGGTAAATTGTTGATTATACTTTCATAAAATGTCGAATTACAGTGGGTATATGATTTCAAAATATATTAAGTATGGACACTT